TTACCTGTCACAGGTGTCACATCTCTATAATATAGGTATATAAAAACACACGCGTATTCGAATGCAACGTTGTGTCACAATTTCAAAGCAATCAGTGAAGAACTTTCAGAGATTTAAGATTTTGAACAAACAAACATTTACATTTTTATTTATATAGATAATTTCTTTATTGCATTTGTATGTCAGGAAGCATACTTAGGCTGGTAGTAGTCTACTAAATTCATCTCAGCAAGTGTTATGAATTAGGCAAGGCTGAAAGGATTTGAAAAGTCATTCAATGAGATCCATATTCTGTTATAGACTTGATCCCAGATGTCTCCAATCCAAATCAGTTAACCATTATGCTGTACTAGCTCCTGTATTTGTCACATTCCTAGAAAGGAATCTATTCATTCATCTCTTTGTCCCCTACTTGTTTCTCTTTTTTTATCCTTTCCCCATGTGCCTATTCGAATCTCTATTTTGAGATATTACATCATAATTGTATTACTGCATTTTGTATTGTGTCCCAATCTGCATTAATTATCTTGATAATCTTGTTCTGGAACATCCTGTCCCCACCAAAACTTAATAGAAATAGAAGAAATGTTGGTTGGCATACTTGTTTTCTTACTAGGTGTATATGAAATACTTTATTTGCATGTGAATAAGACATTCTTGCAATACTTGAGTGTGATAAAATACACAGGGTGTTGCCCTTACTGTAATGTTGGCAGTAATACACTGAGAAATTGTTCTCAGCCTACTCCACTTTTTTATAAGTTACTTAATCTTCACTGGCCAATAGCTTAGGACTTAGGTTCACCCAATATGGTGATCCGTAAACTAATCATCCACATTTTAGCCAGTGACGGCAAAACCTTTAGGTCCAGTGCATCAAAAATTGGGGAGATGCCTAGCTTAACTCTGCTGGCATTTTACCATCCTCCTCCCGTGAACAAAAGAGAAACAATTCTTTACATATTAATGCATTTAAAATATATACGGTCCAACCGTATTGCCTTCAGGCAGAATTCGCTTTCTGTTGATAACCCCCTCCCTGGGGCCTACCTAAGGCAACTTTGGGTGGCATAAGGCCTTTGTTCTTGAAGCAGCTTTGGAGAACACTCTTCTGTGGCATCTGCAGCCTCCAAACCCATACAAAAGCATGCTCTGCTCTCACACTATTTTTGGAGGTCCAGAGGTCACATGAGAGCACAGTCTGGAGGCTGCACAAGAGCATACCCCATTTCCACGCAGCCTCCACAGCCCCCCAAAATATGCAAGAACAGGGCACGCTTTCAAGAATAGTTGTTGTCAAGTGCTGGTGAACGTTGCGTGTCATCCAAAGATCGTGCTGTGTCATCTTTGACACCTGTGGATAAGATCGCCGTCACTTTTTTAGTCATAAACCAAGTTTTTCTGATTAATTTGTGGAAAGCCAGCCAACTGTATTAATTCTACAAGCCATAGTTAGTTTAACCAAGTTACATGGGTTGCATCAATTACCGACTCCTTAGATGAAACCTAATAACCAACTGCACATGATTGTTGCAAATAGATGTCTTAAAGGTTTAAAAATATAAAACTTAAAACTGTGGACAAAGTAAAGGTCCCCTGAGAGGGAATATTCTGACTTCTCCATCGCAACTACCTTAACATCTTGGATTTGTTCACTGATTTGTCTGGGTAACTTTTCCTTTCAGTCAAGCATGGAATTAGCTATGTCTCTCTGATTTTTTAACATCTTTGTCCCAGTGCAAATTAGTGCATAATACTGCTTCCAGGTTCTTCAGTAAGAGATTATGATGTTTTAAGCATGCAAACAACTTGCACAGACTGGAACTATGTTAGCTGTGTTAGCACTTGGCATAAGTCCAGCTGTATGTTGTGCCAAGTCTGCTAATACAAATGTTTATTAAAGAATGGTAAGTGCAATTTCCAAAGTAAACAAACATCCTGGGACAATGATTGTTGTTGTTTTTTAACCTAAGAGACAAACCTTTGAATTTCAATATTATTAATGAAATAGGCTTTCCACCAATAATAAAGGTGGGATAAAAACAACTAATAATTAACTTAAGTAACATAGACTTTCCTCTTGTGATCTAAAATCCAGTGAACAATGAAAAAGCAACCAAAAACTACTATTCAAAGGAGAAGAACAATCCATGCTTGGTTTAAAAATTTTCTTTTAAAATTTTCCATCATGTTCGGTGGTTTGACAAATCATTTTTCTCTTCTATATACAGCACAGACTACAAAAATGCCCTTTCCAATGGCTGAGAGAGTAAAAAAAGGGAATACAAGTGGAATGCCATCATAAGGTATTCTATATTTTAAATAGAAAAAAAATGACACAAATGTTTAGATAACATATTTACTTTTAGCAAAGTCTTGAGTTGTGATTAAACAGCTGCATAGGATAAGGGGATAAAATGAAGACATTCCCATTATCCAAACTAAACAACTTACCATGTCATATGAATATTTTTAAACTATGCTAGAAACTCAGCCAGAGTTAAGCATCCCACGTTTGCAGTCTGTAAACTACAGTATTGAGCTCTATACGTTTCTCAGAAACACCACTGCAATTCCTGATTTTATTAATGTAAGAAGTGCAACTACAGAAGAGTTTCAGTAGTGAATGAGACATGATGATAGTGTTCTCCAACCTCTTTTTAAAAATTGCTAATTATAGTATCTTATCACTAGCTATGGCCATCTCTTTAAGAACTTGAGGAAGCGAGATCTAAATACTGAGTCTCTCTGTAGTACAATTACTATGCACAATACAATGGCATCCTCCATCATTGCAATTATATGTGGTTTAGAAACAAATCAAAAGGCTTACTATAAATGGCCCTTTTGCTTGGGCCACTGTACTGAAAAATATCGCCTTTTTGTTTTCTGAAAGCCTCTGAACAGCTATTCATAAACATCTGTAGCCAGCTGATTGCATCACTGGAAAGGGCTATTGTTTGGATGCTGTGTTTTATGCTGTGTTCAGCCTCAAAAACCAGGAGTTAATAAAAAGGAAGAGCAAGTAATTTTTAATGTTAATGTTATTTTTTTTCATCTTCTTGTCTTCTAATGGCAGCTAGGTATACAGCATGTCCATTTATATGAGATGCACTTGTGAAGAGGATGAACCTAGAACCAGAAAGATTTCTGAAACTTGGGTCTATGCGAGTGATGAAAGGGCATGTGCTGATATCTGTTACAGAAAGAGGCCTTGTGTCTTGACATGCTATTCTTTATAGTCACTTGGCCATTGTCATCTCCAGGATATCATGGAGATAGCTGGAATAGAAACAAGTGTCTTGTTCAATAATATTTGCTTGTAGTTAGTCCTTAACATTCTCAATAAAAAGGAAATAGTATAAACTCAGAAAACACTGAATTCATCTTAGAAAACCATCAGGCTACCCATCTCCTTTGTGCAATTATCAGCATTAATGGCATTTTATTGCTTTCATGATTGAAAGGGCTAATTTTCCTCTTTAAGGAAAAGGTGTCAGGATCAGAAAAAGGAAAGGAAGCGAGATTGTCGTGCAGGAATACAAGCTAATTTGAGGGCTAATCCACATAGAGCTCCATTTCCATCTGTCCTGTTTGCCATCGTTCGCTCCCTAGAGACTAAAATGGACGATCTGAAACTTGAGCTGGCCACGAACAAGGAGTGTATATCGGAGGTGGTGACCCTTTGAGAGCTGTATGCAACGAAATTTCATTTTGATATATGCTGATTGGTGTACATTCAAAGTGACAATAAAGTTGTTGTTATTATTATTATTAATTTTCACCTGCAAGTCCTTGTCACAGGATATCCCTGAAAATATAGCAGTTAAGTGTACTGATTCACAGGCTGAATTATCCATGCATCATATGGAATGTATATAGCTATACTCAGCTCAGGTGTGCAGAGTATTATTACCAATGACGTGGTGTACAATTTTATTTAGGTCAAAGTCTAATATTATAAGGTTACTATTATAAAAATATTCCATTTATATAGCTCATTTGTAAAAAACATAGTATCAATGTTTATCTCAAACTCTTTATAATGTAGCCAGCATTAGTATCCATTACTAATGGATAATACATTACACAATTCCTCCCACAAGGAAATCTGAGTAATGTGCATAGCCTGTCATAAATTAATGGCAAAGAAGGATTTGATTTCAGCTGTTATTCTTAAATCCTAACTCATTTAGCCAGATTTAGTTCTGTGTCCAGAAAAGTCCCCAGTGGCCTAAATTATCCAGACGCCTGTTTGCTTTGACAGGTAGGCAAGATTTTGTCCTTAATTCATGTTACAGTGAGTTGTTACAAACAATTATTGCAATTATCCTATTTCACTTAATAGACAGGTGGATCTCAATTCCCAGAATTCCCCCGGCTGCACCTAAACGACCGTGCAACCACATCCACAGTTCAGGTTTTGTCTGCAAGTGTCAAAAGAGATATTAATCAGGCCTGCAAATACGCATCCAGGTTGCACCTTAACTTCCAAGACTACAGTTCTGCAGCAGATGGCAGCATCCAGCTGACCTTGCATACTATGCAGGGTCACAAAGGGACGACTCCTCGAATCTAGGATCACCAGGAAAGCCCAGGCATGTGGACTAGCCGGGGAAGAGAGAACGGAAACAACAGCCGGCCCCTCCGCAGCGCTGCCATTGCCAAGGAAACGACCATGTGCGCCTCTGCAGAGTCACCAGTAAGGCTCGACGGGATGGTCCCCTGGGCCTTTCGAAACAGGCCGGTACTCCTATTGAGCTCAGCTAGGCTGACTTCAATCCGGCCATGCCCCCCCCCCCCAAACCTCATCCCCCCCCCCCCAAAGAGGCAGAGGCCTATTTAGACGGAGTCCTGCAGAACCGAGAGAAATCCCGGCCTGACGCGTCCGGGAAGAGGACGAAACGGCGGCTCCGGCAGGGGGCGCTGTGCGGGGTCTCCTTGCCCTGTCGGCTTTGACCCATCCCGGCCGCCTTAGTAGGAGCTCCCGGCCCGGCCGTCGCCGAGGCTGCTCGGCCTCCGGAGGGGATTCAGCGGAGCGGCTGCTCTCCTGAGGCCAGGCGCGTCGCCCAGGCGACCGCTTGCCCCCTCCCCGCCAGGGACCATGTTCACCAGCACGGGCTCCAGCGGGCTGTGTAAGTACCCACGCGCCTCGCCCGCCCGGTAGGAGGGGCCGCGCCACGGGGCAAAAGGTCGGGAGCCGAGCGGCATGATGAGGCGGTTCCTCTTTTCCCTCCTTAGCTCTGGGAACGTCCTCTCCCTTCGGGGGCTGAACCTCCATCCTGGAGCCCTTTCCCGGCCCCCAGTGCCTGCCGGGGGAGGAACGTGGCTTTAAAGTCATAGGGCAGGGGTTCCCCCCGCCATCCTTGGCAACTTTAAGACTTGTGGACTTCAACTCCCAGAATTCCTCCAGCCTGCTATGTTGCAGGTTGGATACCATGCTGGCTGGCTGAGGAATTCTGGGAGTTGAAGTCTATAAGTCTTAACGTTGCGAAGGTTGGAGATCTCTGGCTGAAGGAAAATCTCGAGCGACTCTTGCGGTTAAGTGAGGGGTGTCCAAACTGGCTGGGGAATTCTGGGAGTTGAAGTCCACAAGTCTTAAAAGTTGCGAGGTTTGGAGACACCCCACCCTGGGTTTAATTAATCTGAGTAGAGGTAAAGCAGGTCTCTCCTTTTTTGCCAGTCCGTTCAGCTTTGTTGTATGCTTTCAGCGAGGATGTTGTTTTGTGTCTTCCCTCAGGATGAATCTTGCAAGTGAAGAGAAACATAGCTCCTTATCTTTTTCTTCTTTATAATTGGATTTATACTACAGGTAGTCCTCGACTTATGACCACAACTGAGCCTAACATTTAAGTCGCTAAATGAGATTTGTTAAGTGAGTTTTGCCCCATTTTACAACTACTCTTGCCACAGTTGCTAAGTGAATCATTGCAGTTAAGTTAGTAGCCTGGTTGTTAAGTGAATCTGACTGCCCCATTGACTTTGCTTGTTGGAAGGTTGCAAACTTGATCATATGACCCTGGGACACTGCAACGGTCATAAATATGAATCAGTTGCCAAGTGTCTGAATTGTGATCACATTGTCATGGGGATGCTGCAATGGTCATAAGTACGAAAAAGGGTCATAAGTCACTTTTTTCAGTGCTATTGTAACTTTGAGCAGACACTGAACAAACTTGTAAGTCAAGGACTACCTGTACTCCATCTTTTCTCTCAGTGACCATTCAGGTGGCTTGGAACAGGAAAATGCAAAATGTAAACAGAACAGTTAGAATCAAAATCTATCATTTAAGTAACAAACACTTGGTGGAAAAGATGTGGTTTCCCCAGTTTTCTAATTTTGAGAGTCAAGTGGGTGACCCTAAGGCAGTGTTTCTCAACCTTAGCAACTTTAAGAGATGTGAACTTCAACCCCCAGAATTCCTAGCCAGGCTTGCTAATGCAACCTGTTCTTGCATACCAATAATGGAGTTTGCAACAACAAGGGTATCTTCACTTCTACTAGTAGGTTTTTAGTAGGAGAGATAGGCAGTCTGTAAGCTGTATAGTCAGGCCTTATAGACCAGTATGGATACTGCTAGGACAGATCTTTCAGTACGGGAATCATATGCTTCCTGTATATTGTATCTGTCAGCAACCTAGAAGTTGCATTTTGCACAAGTTGAACTTTCTGGATCTACTTCAAGGGAAACTCCACATGCATTGCTATAGTCAAATTGGTTGGTAACAAGGGCTGGATAACTGCTACTAAATCTGGCTGGTTCGGGAAAGATTGCAGTTGGCATTCTGATCATAATTGTGTAAATATGCTCCTCAACCACAGCTGCTACTTGAAAGTCCACTTACAGCTGGGATTAGGGAGTACATTCAAACTGCAAACTTGCTTCTGCTTGGAGAGCACAAACCCATACAGAATAAGCATCCCATTGATACCAAATTCAGCTTTTTGTTAACAACACTACTGGGTTTTTTTTCAGATATAAATTCTATTGAATAAACTTATTCTGAACAATCATGCATAGGATTGGGCCAGCAGGGATTAATATAAATTTTAACTGTGATCTAATTAAATTGCCTAGTCCAGTGGTTCTCAACCTTTTTAATGCCGCGACCCCCAACCGGTCGTAAGTCAAGGACTAAACTGGTCGTAAGTCGAGGACTAAACCGGTCATAAGTCAAGGACTACCCAACCAGTTGTAAGTCGAGGACTTTCCCTGCCCGGGAGCGCCGCGCATGCGTGGTTCCGCCCCCTGCGCCGGCCGAGGCGTAGCTGGCAAGCGGCAGAGACAGAGCAGGCCGACCACCAGCTGGCCCAGCCCAAGGAAGGTAAGGCACCCACTGGAAAAGGGGGAAAAATGGCGGACAGCCTTGCTTGGCGACCCCCGTGAAATGGTCGATCGACCCCAAATGGGGTCGCGACCCATAGGTTGAGAACCGCTGGCCTAGTCAATGGTTTTAAGCCACTATAAATTGCTATGTTTGCATAAATACACTAAACTATGCACTATGGTTTAGAAACCACAGTGACAGGGTTCACAAAACATTAAGCCAAAACCAGATTAACTACCTTAAAGTTTAATGTGGTATGTGAATAAAGTCTGTAACTACATTTCCATGACTCACTGGATACAATTGCACAACACCTTTAACTGGACTATTTCTAGGCCAGTGTGTTGAACAAATATAGAAACCTGCCAGTTCAGGTAAGAAACTATTCTAACACCTTTCCTCAGTTAAATGATATTGTACAACTCAGGAATCTAACAACTTTGAGCTGGTTGTACACTGCTCAATTCTCCAGGTAAACTAAGCAAAAGTGGAAAGTGGCTAACAATGCATGTTAAAAATTAGAAGCTGAGTGCTCTGTACAAAAAGAACTCTACAATATGGTAATTAGTTGAACCTAGTAATGGTCAGTTTGATATTTCCTTTTTTGATAATTATCTTGAACTAAAATAAAGCACAATATTCAGATAAGAATATGATTTACTAAATAGAATGTCTTCAAGTTTCTGCATGGTTAGTGAATTATATATGAGCCCAGTGCTTAAAGTGTATTTATAGTGATCTAAATTGGACCAGATTAAAAAACCATTCATGAAGATTTGAAAAATCTTGGTATGTGATGCTAAAGTGCTTTTATAAAAAGTGCTTGTTGATGCAGATAACATATGAGGATATCAGCTTACCATGTGCTATGTTCATATCCATGAGCAGAGCTTGTTTTAATCCTGATTTGTTGAAAAGTGTACAAAAGTGCACTAAGGCTAAACAAGGGCAAAATAATAACTTAATTTATGCATTGTTTTCAAGTAGAGCTTATTCATTAACATCTGTATTTAGATCTCTTAATACCATATCAAAACATCCTTTCTTAAATAATATTAATGTTTTTTTCCTCTTGGAACTGTTAACATTGATGCAGTTTTAAGAGGCGTTGTTTAAATAGTATTTTTCTATCAGTGTCACTTTTTTATACCATTCTAGGAAATCATAATGTATATTGCAATATTTTTAAATCTTTTAAAATGGCACGTACTCATACTTTAAAATGTTTTCCTAATCTTGAGATTTTATAACAAAAGGACACTGCTCTTTAATTCAGTTGTTTAATTTATACAGTGGATCAGTGTTACTCTAAAATGGAATTTATGCCCCTTTCATTTATATGAGAGCGGAATTTGAGTTATTCAGTGGGTAGAATGTGGAATGTGTGCACAAGAGGTTAGAATATAACAATCAGAATGTTAAACTGCAGCATTTTGGATAAATTATTAAACTCATCTATACTTCTGTGTACAATGTGGTAACAAAAATTATTTTAATAAAGTAACAGGAAATAAAACACCGAATAAGAATCACTGTGTTGTAATAGGTAGAGCATAAGATATGCATAAATAAAACAGTAAAATTAACCTGTAATTTATTGCATAAATAAAGCAGTAAAATTAACCTGTAATTTACTGCATAAATAAAGCAGTAAAATCAGTAAAATATTGCACTCATGGTAGAAATTAATATGAACGTCTATAATTTCATCTCACCTTCCATATTAAGCCTATGATTAGATATAAATCCCACAAGCTACTTTTTCTTTCCAATTAATTAAAAAAGGAAGCTGAGGTATTTATTATATACAAAAATGCCCCAAGCCACAAAGGAGCTTTCCAGGCATTCTTAACAAATGGAAATAATAGCTGGCTATAACCCAATGCTTTGCCCAAAGGAATGCCACTAATCAAGAAAAATAAAAACAAAACAACTTAAATGATAGGGAACATCCAGTGTTGCTTGATAGCATAGCAAGGAAAATCCCAGTGATTTTGTGATTAGGTGAGCCTTCCCTGGCAGTTATTTTGCAAGAGCTCCCAAAATATGTTCTCAAAATCCCAAAGACACTCATCAACTTCCACAAGTAACTAATTCCTACCTTAATGACTGAGAAAGCCAAGGGAAATCATCAAAACAATTAAAAAATGAAAATTAGAATATTTCAGACATGTGATGCGACACCCAGAAAAATACGGCATACTCCATTTAATCCTCCAGGGAAAGATTGAAGGCAAACGAGGTCCAGGCAGAAGAAGAACATCATGGCTTCAAAATCTAAGGGACTGGTTTGGACAAAACTCAGCAGCACTTTTTCGTGCGGCTGCTGATTAAAAACAGGATCGCCAACATGATCGCCAACGTCCGATAACGGATATGGCATAAGAAGAAGACCTTAATGACTAGTGGTATATTTGGAAAGACAATAGAGATACTGCTGTCAGATCCCTTGCCTTAGAAGCAATCTGCCTCATTTAAATTACAGCATCTGAAATGGATATTGAGGACATTTGGGAGAAAAGGAAAAACATAACATGTACTCCATTGTAAATATCCTTTTTTTGTTTTGTTTTCAGAGCTCAGGTTGATTTCACCTAACAATTCATTTATCTTATAGAAAGAATAGAAATTCATTCTTATATTAGAACACTCTTTGATAATAAGTTTCTTCTGTTTCTATTCTGTGCATCTGTGTGCTGTTGGGCTGAGCATTTTTTTCTAAATGCTTTTAAAAATGCTCATGCTAAGAACATTGGGTCATCTATCTTAAAATGACAATATTGAAAGCAATTTCTTTTCCTTTAAATCATATTTTAAAAGTACATCAGTTTTTTTGTTAGCACACTTTATAAAGCTCTAACTGGCTTGTGTGTTTCAATCTGATTGAAAAGAAAGAAAATGTTGTAAATTTCCAGGGCATTCCTATGGGAGACTGGAATTTTGTTTCTTGCAGTCACTCTCTGGATTCAAACACCAGGTTGAACTAAACTTTCCCAGAGAAACCTAAAATGCCACATCATTTTTTGCTTAGTTTGAGCATTCGAAATGAATTAAGTGGTTTCTGCATGCACCTAGTTGGTTTTGTTTATACAACTTGAACCAAAATTTGGGTAAAATGAGTTGGAAAGTTCTTTTAGCAGTCTTAACAGATTTAATTGTAATCATAAATCTTTTTTTTTTTAAAAAAGTACACAGCATGATTGTTTTTTTAACTGTTTTAAGAATTGTCACTATAACTTTATTGCATATGTGTGCATTTTGTTTTCTTTTGAAGATAAAGCACCTCTGTCAAAGGGTCTATTAATAATACCAAGCACCTTCTCATTACTGCTGGCTCTACTCTTTCAGCATTATCAAAAGTTCTTTACCTACAATCTGCAAGCAGTAAAAGAGGAATTTCAGGTAAGCAGCAATTGATGTATAATATTGTGATATGGGATAAACATAAAAAAGCTGCATAGGGGCTAGTGTTCTTTAAATTTTTTGTTATGAGCTGTGGTGTGAATATTTTGAACTTTAAATTTGGAATGATATAGCACTCCATACCACAACCAATAGCAGAGCAGCATTCATGTAAAATGTAGATATGTGAGAAATTAGTTGTGGCTGCAGTGTGGGAAGGAGGAAGTCTCTATTTTCTTGTTAGCTTTTGTTAACCAATTAGTCAACTTGTATTCTGTTAAATCTCTTACAGTTACAATCAGATAACATTTTTTTCAAAGGTGATGCGTTACATCCAAAGAGGTTATGCTGGTAACTGTGGAGAAAAACAAATTGTCCCAAGTGTATTTCAGATGAGTGGAACTTGAGTTGACAGTAGTTATACTGCTAGGCCATAGTAAATATTTCTTTTTAATTTGGTTTTAAATTAGGTATTTATTGTAGTATCTGTTTTATAAGGCTGTCAGCCGCCCTGAGTCCGGTAAGGAGAAGGGCGGGATAAAAATTGAATAAATAAATAAAATAAATAGATGTTTTGCTTTATACATAATACTAGGTGGCATGTCTAAGCCCAGGACACCACCCCCTATACATCTAAATCCATGGGGTTATGATCTGCTCCAGACAGTCTTTTCAGCAAAATTCCTGGCCTAAAAAATAAGTGTATATTTGCACACACATTTTTGGGAGAAAGAAGAGGTTTATTCTTTGTTGTGTATTAAAACTGAAAGGATGGGGCTATGGGCTCTTCTTATTTTTCTTTTTCTCCCACCCTCAAATTGATATAGAGATAATGAAATTATATTAATACTTGTGGCAGTGATAACTTGTGCCTTTAAGGAGAAGTCCCAAGCGTTTAGAAAATGATGGAATGAACAAGTGGTGAGGAATTTGAGTCTTCCTAGTGCCAGTTTCTGCTTTTCTCTCCATAGTGGTTCTTTTTACTTTTATGCTCTCTTCCCAGCTGGACTTAACTTCCTGGATGAAAGAAAAATGATGCATGCAGCAAATGGGGGAAAGTCCTCCTTGTTTCATATCAGACAGAGATCTGTTCCCTCTCCCTGCTGTGTTTTTAATTGAGACAGAAAAAAGTATAGGTCTGGAGCTTAGTCTGAAATGAATATCTGATATCTGATATTAGGTTTGCAAGAAAAAAAAGTTAACATGGGCAAAATATTTATAGCTACCTTTAGCACACTTTAAAGCCTGGGTAGCTGAAGCATGCTAACATTCTTCATTTACTTGTATCTTTAAATGGAGATAAAAGGTAGTACTTGTTCCAACAATAGCAGTGTCCTTGCTAGAAGGATTCTTTTTGACATCTATTAACAGCATGTTGTGACCTTGTATGTTTTACACATTTACTGTGCTATGGGCTGGTGGTTTTGGGAGTGTAGGAAGAACTTCTGTAGGTAAATGGAGTAGAACTATAACTGGAAAATGTGACTTCAGTTACTGTATAATTTATAAAGTGAAGGTTATAAGGAAAAGAATCTATTCATATAAGCCCTTTCTTCTGGTAAAATAGCTTAGGAAAAAGAGTAGTTGACATTTGGAAGCTACATTTTGTCATATTTCATTATGACACAGACATGTTTTGGAGTTGGCAGGAGGTAGAATCTGCCTACTGTCCCTTAACAGAAATGGAGGAGCTGAATTTCAGTGACAAACCACCAGAAATGCTGATGCTGCTTCCTGCCATTTCCTGATAAAAAAAATGAAACATTCGTGTTCAAACTTATATTTAATTGTAACACTTCATTGTCTTCAGAAATACAGAAGGAAATTTGTAGAAAACCTTGCCCCCATCTGTCACTGCAACATTATCCTGCCTGCTGCATCTCTCTCCCCTTTTTAAAGTTCATCTCCCAGCTGCTAACGTTTGTCTGCTATATCTATATAAATAAAAATGTAAATGTTCGTTTGTTCAAAATCTTAAATCTCCGAATGTTCTTCACCGATTGCTTTGAAATTTTGACACAACGTTGCATTCGAATACGCGCGTGTTTTTATATACATATATTATATAGATGTCACACCTGTGACAGGTAAAAACATGCTTTTTAAAAAAACAGCGCCATCTGTTGGACATAAAAGCAACACACACTTTTACCAGACTGAGCCACAGCAACGTGTGGCTGGGTACAGCTATATTAAATAATTTCCATAAAATGCAAGTGGAAACTGACTACTGTTTATTACCTTTCAGATTTGGAGGTTGCTCTGTGGACGAACAGTGTGTCTTGATCTTAAAGACACTTTCTGCAGTAGTTTACTTATCTACAACTTCAGAATATTTGAAAGGCGATATGGCAGTAGAAAATTTTCAGTAAGTTCATATTCTGGTTTTGTTCTCATATTTCGTAAGTTATGGTATATATTTACATTCATTATTTGTCTATCTTTTTCCTCTTCCAGTATTTATCACAAAAGATATTCAAAAATTCCAGGGAGCCATTTTTATATTTCCATTTAGAAAATTCATTTTTAAGTAACAGGGTAAGCAAAATGATAGTGAACCCATGCTGCCTTTATAGTTTTTTGTTGTTTTTTTTTTGTAATACAGATAGTTCTCAACACAACTGGGATCAAAATCTTGGTTGTAGAGCATAGCAGTTAAGCGAGATGTCACATAGCTGCTTCATTCAACAGTTGCAATCATTAAATCATCTCGCAGGTCATTAAGCAGACAAGAGTCACAAATAAGGAACATAGGGATCCCTTGAGTGTAAGGGAGACTATGGGAGCCCAGCAAGTAACTCTCCACTCAGAGACTGAAAGTCCTCCCTATTAAAATCCAAGCAGAATTTTCAGCCTCTGAGCAGAGAGAAACTCGCACATGGCCTATACTGGACCTCTTGGGCTCTCTGAGGCACTCTGCACTCCTTAGCTTACTGCATTGCCTCTCTGGTCATGGGATGAAAATCCTGCTTGGATTTGGGCTCCTTCTTGCCCTGGGGACTGGCTGCAAGAGCTGCCTGCCAAAGGATTTCATCCTTGTGCCTGCTTGGATTTCGGCACAGAGCTCTTCAGGCAGCAGTAGCTTGCAATCTTCTTTGACTTTGACTTCCTCATTGATGGTGATCACATGATCACGGGGTGCTTAGCAACCTGTCATAAGTGCAAACAAATTGCTAAGCACCCAGATCGCAACCATGTGACCGTGGAGAGATGGTGCAACAGTCAGAAGTGCTTTATACACTGTAAAGCACCCTTTCCAAGGCTGTCATTAATTTGGATTGTCATTAAGTGAACCATCATAAGTTGAGAATTACTGATATAATGTTATACATCAGCGGTCCGTAACATCTGCAGCTTGGCAGCCCGGCTGTGGGGTAGGGGGGAACCAGACCGCGTGAGTGGCAGGCCGTGCACACCCAGGTATGCATCTCAATTTGCACAAACGGTGGGCCAGCAGTATATGCATGCCACACAGCTCAACTGCAAGTGAGTTGAGTTGTGCACACTTGCACTCCGGCCTTCTTCTCATGTGGTCTAGTTCTGAATAGGCCTGGGGATTGGGGACCCCTGTTATACATATATTTCACTGTTTTTATTTGTCTGTATTATAACCATTTTGGCTCTACTGGCATATATAGAGTAGTATGTAGCAGCCTGAATGAATAAATGGCCATTTCTATTCTAAGGCAGCAGTTGAAGATGCACTCTCTGTGTAAGTGCATGAGTATGCACTGAAGTGTATAAATTGGGTCTTGGTTTGCTCCTGTTCTATCTTGCAGAAATCCACAAGAAGATACCTTTAGAGATCAGTGATAAAGCTCCTGGACAGCAGGAACCTGGACAGAATTCAGCTAACAGAGCAATTTGCTCTGAGGTTTTAAGAGTTACGTATATCCTCATCCAACATGTATCGCTTATTTAGAGTGCTGTTTTCTTGAGAATAGACGTAAATATTCAAAAGACTAGCTCTCTCATTTGTTGAACTTCACACTCTATTTCTGATGTGTTTCTGGGTAAGAACATGTTGATACTTCCTAAAAAGTAGGAAGGCCTGTTTGTGACATTACTGTATTGTAATTGCTTTTTGTGGATTCCATGCCAGAGTATAGTGCTCTAATTTCAGGGGCTCTAGATTATTATTATTTTCTTAGATTATTAATTATTATTATTAGGTCCTGGCCTGATGTCAAAGTTTATGCAGATACTGTACTTTGTAGCTCTCTGCATGCCTCCCTGTGACCCCCAGGTTTCCCAGAGGCCTCTTTACAAAGCTGTGCTATGCTTATCAGTTGAAGCCAGGGCTATAACTACTTTGTAGACTAATTCCATATATTTGTTACAATTCATAAGCAGTACTGTTATCTTTTTCTTTAATTAGCATTAAAATACTTCAGTTAGCTTTAAAGGTTTTAATTACTAGATGAAAATGGCATGTAACAAAATAATATGCTGCTTATATATTTTGTGAACAGTATAGATCAGACATGTCAAACTCGTGACATCACATGACGTCGTGCAATGTATCAGAACGGTTTTGCCATTGCTGGCAATGGGGTGGGTGCGGCTTCCGGATGATGTGTCTGGCCCGCAGGCCGGCAGTTTGACACCACTGGTATAGATCATGGTTGTACAACATTTGGCTTGCCAAGACACATTGAGTGAAGAGGAGTTGTCTTGTCACATATAAAATATATAGTTAATGTATATAAATACATTAGGAAATAAAGGAAATAAACTTTTTTTTCTTTATTATCTTGCTGGGCCACATTACTAGCTGTCCAGGGCCACATGCGGCCTGTGGGCCATGTGTGGTGTAGATACACTGTTAAAGCTTGCAAACTACCTGGACAATTCATTCCATTCCATTGTGAATGCTGTGGAAGAATCACAGATAGCTTACGTGTTGTATGTGAAATTAATGCATAACATATATCTGGTTGCAGAATTGTAGTTCCCAGAAAATGAAAATTGTCGTCATCAGCCATTCAGTAGTGTCTGACCCTCGGTCACTCTATGGATCAGCACTGTTCATGCCCCTCTGTCTTGCACCGCTTCCTTCAGATCCTTCATGGTTATTCCAGTGTCATCTTTTATAGTGTCTAGCCAGTGAGTGCTAGGGCAGCCCCTTCTCTTTTTTATGATCACTCCCAGCATGATTGACTTTTCCAATGGTTCACAGATAATGCAGCATTAAGACTCATTGCCTATCATGACTGATTATTAGGCAAAATCAGATAACGATTCCTGTAATAGAAATGCTCTTATTTTATCAGTAACCTGAACATTCAACTCTGCAGATTCAGTAAGTGAGTTCTGGGATGCTGCTGCAAAACCTTTGGTATAGTGTAGTCTAACTTTGTAATCCTAATTTCTCTACATAAATATATCTTTAGATTTAGTTCTTTGGGTACAGTCCATTTTCTGTGAGCATGCTGAATGGGTAATCATCCTATTCAACATTGTATTATTTTTAATGAATGATTTTTTAGCTATAAAAGGTGGATAGTTTGTGATTATGAATTTTTATTTTTATTTTTTCAGTCATTTTTGCTGGGCTCCTGGATGCTATCAGTGATGTTTGATTTTGTCCTGGTAGAAGCTATTGAATATTCTTTTGGCTTCAACATCAGCAGCTTGCCTTCAGGATTGTAAGTGGCTATTAAGGGACATTCATATCTTTTTGTATCTTAAATATTATTTCTAGAGCTATTGGAATTTATAAAAATGAAATGTTTAGTATTATTAATTTGGGTTGTGCGAAATTCAGCCATTCAGCAACTCAATGTTCTTTAGAACTCTGTGTTCTCTCTTTAGAATTTCAGAATGTGGTGCTCTGGAGGTAGTTTAGCAGTTCTCATAAATCTTCTGAATCAGAAATAATTCAACCTCCTGGACACAACAAACCTGTTACGGGCTCAGATCACCATTAGATTATCTAAAAATATTTTTGGCTTGGAGGTTTTATTTTTAGAAACTGCCAATTGCCCCCAGAATGGTATGGTCTGGAGAAGCTTTGGCCTCATCCAGAAAAGAAATGAAATTATCCTGAATGCTGCATTCCAAATGTGAGTTTAATATATCTATATTGCTAATGATTTGAATTTGTATGGCATATTCAGTCATAGATGTTCTGCTTTTCCTCTTCATTGTCCACATATTTATGTGTTTATCAAATTTGTAAATCTACCGGACAGTCTCTCAGATCTCCTCTCAAAGGTTATCTGATTGTCTGGAGCAGATTTAGGGTGAATAAAGGTACAATGGCACAGTTAATTCCAGATGCTGTTTTACCAATTAATGGATGCCTTTGGATTCAATTCTGTATCTTCAATTTTTTTTGTTTTTATCCAATCAAGATTAGATAAACTTGAAGGCAGATTGACTGAACTATGGCTGCAAACCTTTTAGTGCATTGCTTTTTATTTTCTAGAATATTTTTATTTCATTTTATTCCACACACACCCCTTACGCCCATGCACTCCCATTGGGAGAGTTAAATTCAGCACTGTGTTTAAGGCTTAATTTATTGTAGACTGATTATGGCGAGGATATGGCTGTATTTGAATGACAAAAAACAGCTGATAACTTTCTTTATAGCAGTGACGGTCTGTCATGGTTCCGACAGATGAAACCCTTCAAAAGAACTTCGAGGCATTGTTTACCTTAAAGAATCTTTTATTCAGGAAACAAAGTATCGGCACTACATAGTTGAACCCAAAAACTAAATTACCCTCCCCTGGATACAAAGTAACAAAGTACAATTCCCACCTCCAATAAACAGTCATAAATCACATTCCCCAATTAGCTTGAAGCGTGGGCTTCCTCCCCAGCTCTCCAGTCCACCAAAACGCTATCAGCTCTGGGCCCAATGTCCTTGGGTTCCCACAGCTGAGTTATTATTGTTATGACTAGCTGGACTCTCATCCCTATCCCCCCTCCCAGCATCAACTAATTCGGCGGCCAGCCCCACTGCTACTGCTGCGCTCCCAACGGTTGTGCACCTCCTGGCAGCTGTATTATCCCTGGTTGCTGCAAGGTCCCCAGCTGCTGCTGCACATTCGGGGGCTGCGGCCACCCCCAATGCTGTTGTTGCACCGTCAGCAGCTGTTGGCTTCCCAGCTGTGGGGGTTGTGGCATTCCCCATTGCTGTAGAGGTCTTGGACTGAGCGGCCGGTAGGCACGTCGGTTTGGGCTTCCGCTATTCCGGTGACGGCTCAGGCTCTTGTCTCACTGGCGGTGATCTGGGTTTCTGGAGGGGCAACGGCAATCCAGGCTACCATTTCTGGAGCGGCGACTGGGGCTTTCCCTCTCTAAGGGGCTGGAGGCTATTGTAGGTGGCTTCATGGACAAGGAAGCCTGCGCAGGTGGGGCTGCAGCTTCCCCTCGGCATGAGTTGGTGGCTGCCCCGCCGATCATCATGATCGATCGCGTATGGAGAACGGGAGGGTTGTTCCCCACTTCTCATCTCTAGCTCCTCAAATCTCTCCACTAACTTCTCCATTGATTGACTACGGACTACAGACAGGTACTTCGACTCACCAAAGTCCTCAGCGATAGTTGATTTCGTGGCTCTCCATCAGTCCGGGGAACACGACTTGTGAGAAGCCCCTCTTTGCAGTTCAATCTTGTCCGCCTTCGAAGCACTTGATTGTGGCAAGGCCATCTTGAGGTGTCTGGAGTCTCCACTGGATAAAGTCCAGTCCAACGACCAGATCAGTTGTCCCCACAGCTTGGGTCTTGCCCCCATCTGGGAGGAGGGCCTGCACTCCCTCCTCTGAGGCAGTAGCCACTGCCGGTGTGCTGGTTTCAGGTGCCCCTTCCTTTTCCATGTTAAAATCTTCCCTGAATCTTTGTCGGTCTATCCCTCAACTCAAGGGACAGCAACTGGAGCTCGGGACCCCAGAGTGGATAGGTAAAAATTGCAGTTTTGGGGTTAATGTCATGGTTCCGACAGATGAAACCATTCAAAAGAACTTCGAGGCATTGTTTACCTTAAAGAATCTTTTATTCCGGAAACTAAATCAATCTGACCATAGCTTTGAGGAAATAGCCACCTATTTTGACAAATGAAGGCACATGTAAATTATTCCCAGAAGTAATTTAAAACTCATTAGCATATTTGAAGACCTTTTCATTTTGCTTTAAGGGATGCACACTTTAGACTTAAATTTTATTAAAGATGAAACACTTGATTTAGAAATGTGAAATTCCCATCACCCTCCCAATACTGCAAATATTGAAATCATGTGATTTTGAATAATTTTTTTGTCTTCTTAATAAATTGTGCAACTCATAGAAGTTACAAAGTTATTCTATCAAAAATAATACTAGAATAAATAATGAAGATAAATAGAACATATTAATATTAAAGAGACAGAAATGATTATGCATTTCAAGCTAGAGTAATTTCTTTTTCAAAGAAAAAACAATTTAAAAGAATAATAAAATCTTTCCTTTTTTTAATCATAATACATTTATTAGAAATTTGAGTTTATTCTAAGCTTTATGCATGTATATTGTATTGCTTTATTTATTTTATATGATCTCACTGTTAATATTACTTAATGAATGCATACTACCAGATCGTATACTTTTTCTTCGAACACTTCGAAGATAATTACGATAAAGCATAACACTGATAACTCGGGCCTGAAATTGTTTAGAAACTAGGTAGTAAAGGATTATATCTAGACATGTGCTGAGATTCATCAGGAAGGTGGTAAATGCTCCCCAAGGGTTGTAACTTGCCTCTCCATTTTGGAGCATCAGAAATGTAAAACAAATGTGAAAAGGCACAAAACATAAAAGCACTTGGATAATTAGTGTTACAATGATTCTGATCGATCTTTCTTTAGCCTTTGGTTTCAGCTTGGAAGTTCTTCCACGAATTATACTATAAATGATGACTAGATAACAACCAAGCATAGTAAATATGGGAATCAAGAAAAAAAATATTAACCGAGAAAAATTTAATACATTGACTTCCTTTAGGTAGATAATATCCATCATCTTTATGCAGGTAGTGAAATTTGAAGTTTTGTCTGGATCAGAATATAAGAAAAGGAGTGGAGAAGTTGTCACAAGAGTTAAGATCCAAAGTCCTGTGCAAGCCATCAGAGCTTTGCTTGTGTTCTTGAGTTCCTTGGCATATTTGGGTTGAACGATAGCCAGACATCTATCAATGCTTATAAAAGCTAACAGCCATATTGCAATGCTGGGGTAAAAAATAGTGAAAGCACTAAGAATCCGGCAGAAGACATCTCCAAAGATCCAAGAGCGTTTCCCATAATAATGCATTCGAAAAGGCAAGGAGAATATAAGCAACAAGTCAAGCGACGCAACATTCATCATGTAGATAGTTATAGTTGTTTTCTTCTTGGTGGTACAGCTGAAGACCCAGAGAGCTGTAATGTTTACAACTAAGCCAATTGTAAAAATGAAGCTGTAGAAGACGAGCGATGAAATTCGGTATTCCTCAGGATGGCTATTTTCAACCATTGTAATTAGACTTTCATTGTAGTTATTCATAGCTTTTTAATATGTTATCTAAAAATAAAATAGAGAAAGATCAAGTTTAGTTACTGGTTAGAATGGTTTTGCATTGTAAGGATCACCGAGAATCAGACAATTCCAGTATGTACTGTACAGAAGGTACATTAGAAAAATTGAGTGCATTAATCTTCAAAAACATGATTCTCGGTATTATGTTAAATTGAGAACTTAACTAACCAAGCAGTTAGTGTAGTTTATGTGGGCCTGAGGTTTGAGTTTGCTATAAAAGAATACCAGAAAGTTTTATTTTATTTATTTATTTGTTAAATTGCTGCCCATCTTGCCATGAGGCTACTCTGGGCAGCTTACAACAATAAAATGGAAAAAAAGATTAAAAATATAAATGTAACAATAGCAAAAGAATAAACAATACAAATAAACAATGAAAGTACAATAATATGAAATTAAAAAGATGGACGGAGGAGGAGCAGGAAGCACAGGATAGGAGAGTGGGGAGAAGCCTCACCCCAGGGGGCAGGATGTTCCAGAATGCCAGGGCTACAGCAGAGAAGACTCTTCTTCTGGACCTTCTCTGTTGTTCCTTGACTGATGGGGTCCTCAGCAGGCCTCCTCTGCTGGCACAAGTAGGGCAGGGTTGTCTTATCAGGACGAGATGGTTCATCAAGTAGTCTGGGCCTATGCCATGGGAGGGCTTTAAAGGTCATAATCAGCACGTTGAACTGCACCTGGAAGCAAACCAGCAGCCAATGCAGTTTGCGAAGCAGTGGTGTTATATGGGTCATTCTATGGGCTTCCAAAGACTTCTTGTGCTGCCACATTTTGTACCAGTGGAAGCTTCCATGTAGCCCCACATAAAGTGCATTGCAATAATTTAGACGAGATGACTAGGGCTTGAGTGACTGAGGGCAGGGAGTCCTAATTCAGGGAAGGCTGCAACTGGTGTACAAACCAAAGTTGTGCAAAGGCTCCCCTAGTTACAACTACCCACCTGATCTTCAAGCAGGAGTCGCGATTCCAAAAGAATCCCTAAGTGAATAGAGTAGTGCAACCCTGTCCTGAACTAAGGATGACAAACACTCAGATCCTGAGGCTCCATGCACCCAAAGCCATTCAGTCTTACCAGGGTTGAGTTGTAGCCTATTGTCCCCCATCCAGGCCCCTACAGCTTCCAGACATCATGAGAAAGTAGCAACAGCATCACTCAGGCCACAAGATGTGGAGATGTAAAGTTGAGGATCATCAGCATATTGATGATATCTCAAAACATGGTGATGGATGATCTCACACAGCAGCTTCATATAGATGTTAAACAGGAGAGAGTACCGAGCCCTGCAGTGCGCCTTAAGAGAATGGCCAGGGGCTGGATCTCTCATTCCCTGTCAATGATTGGGAGTGACTTTGGAGAAAGGAGCTAAACCAGCACAGAACTATGCCATCCAGTCCTAAGCTCCATAGTTGGCCCAAAAGGATACCATGGTTGATGGTATTGAAGGCTGCTGAGAGGTCAAGGAGAACCAGGATGGTTGCATTGTCACCACCATTCCCTCTCCTGAGATCATAAGTGTGACTCTGTCCCATAGCTAGGCCTGAAACCTGGCTAAAAGGGATCTAGGAAATCTGTATCATTCAGCATCCTGTGAAGCTCCAAGCAACCACCTTTTCTACCACCGTCTCTAAAAAAGGGAGATGGGAAACTGGATGAAAATTGTCCAGGCAGGTGGGATCGAGATTTTTTTTTAGGAAAGGGCAAACCAGGGCCTCCTTGAATGGCTCCAGGAATGTTCCCTCTTGTAGTGAGAAATTTATCACTGCTAGTCATTGTCCTGGAAGCTTTTACCAAACACAGGACAAGGGTCTAATTGGCAATTGGTTGCATTGACAATATTGATGACCTTGTCCATTTAGGACCAACAAAATCAAACCATTCCCAAGTTACAAAGCAAGACCTTTCTCCAGGCATCTCACAAGGACCTGCACTTCACTTGGAATCCAACTGGGAACGAAACTAAGTTATTTTACTGTTTATAACACACATCCACTGCCATACTACATCTTCCAGGCAGAAATGAACTACTTAGGCAATCTAACAGAAAACCCGAGAGCTTCTAAAAAGCTAGTAGAAAGTAGGAAGCCATAGTTGAAGAATTTCAACACCTTTGGTTCAAGAACTCTGTCTCTCTCTCTGTCTCTCTCTCTGTTTGTCTGTCTGTCTGTCTGTCTGTCTCTCCCTGTGTGTGTGTGTGTGTGTGTGTGTATTCCAATTTTTTTTGCATTTTTAAAATTTTATTGCTATGTGATGCAACAGACTGGTGGCCTTTTTCTAAGCAGGCTGGTTTATTTCAATTGTCAATGCTGTAAACATTGGATGTTCCAGCTCTGACAACTGATGAAATTGCAGCCATCTTCCCTTTTCTTTTAACATGCTTTTTCTGGTAGTTAGAAATCAGGTGCAGAAGGAGGGGATTGGGATGAAAGCTCAGCTCAGCTAGCCATAACAATAACACTGCTTTGTGGGAACCCAAGGACGAGCTGATAACGTTTTGGCGGGCTGAGGAGCTGGGTAGACAGCCCCTGTTTTAGGCTAATTGGAGAATGTGATTTATGACAGCTTATTGGGGGTGGGAATTGTACTTTGTTACTTTGTATCGGGGGAAGGGAATTTAGTTTTTGGGTTTAACTATTTCCTGAATAAAATGTTCTTTGAGGAAGAATTTTGCCTTGAAGTTCTTTTGATGGGTTTCATCTATCGGAACCATGACATCAATCTCTTTTGTAATTGAAATTGCCATATTGGCTCTTGTTTTCACTGTCTACAAGACATAGAACTGAGAGAATTAACTTTCATAGATCTATCATCCATCTTTCCCTTCTATCTAGGCCTTAAATAGGAGCTATATATCTATTTTTTTATAGTTACAGAATGTAGCTTAGCGCTATATATTTAATCTGCTCCTTTTTTAAAAAAAGTATTAAGGTGACAATTACCAATTTTAACCTTTTGAAACATTTCATAGGATCCAGTCCCCAACATGAGTTAGTAGATGGAGAGTTCTGTCTTATTCTTTTACAAAATATTTTTAAAAAATAATTATTGAGATAAGAACAATCAATTGTAACATATGCTGGACTGACACATTTACAGCATCTACTTTTTGTTTTTCGAAGCATCTGAATAGGCAACTGCAATTGTACCATAACATGTAGACAATTCAAAAGAAGAATGCATTATATCAATTACTATTTCTTTAAGTGTTCTGGCATAATTAGTCCTGTTGCATGTACCATGAGCAAGTATAACTAAGAAATTACTTTCTTTGGGTTGAATCAATTTTGGCTTAATCTGGCGTTCTTGACAAGAATCCCAGAACCATTTGCTGGTGCATTTGCTGGTTCACTAGAAACAGGGCAATTAACCTGTCTTAATCTGTCTTTCAGTTTTTATATCGTCGCAGTCAAAATTGGGTGTGATATTACCACGACGTTATAAGGCCACGCTTGGAATATTGCATCCAGTTTTGGTTGCCATGATATAAAAAAGTTGTTGGGACTCTAGAAAGCGTACAGAGAAGAGCAACAAAGATGATTAGGGGACTGGAGGCTAAAGCATACGAAAGAATTAAGTATGTCTAGTTTAATAAAAAGAAGGACCAGGAGTGACATAGCAGTGTTCCAATATTTAAGGGGCTGCCACAAAGAAGAGGGAATCAATCTATTCTCCAAAGGATCTGAAGGCAGGACAAAAAGCAATAGATGGAAACTAATCAAGGAGAGAAGCAATCTAGAACTAAGGAGAAATTTCCTAACAGTGAGAACAATTAACCAGTGAAATGGCTTGCCTTCAGAAGTTGTGGGTGCTCCAACACTGGAGGCTTTTAAGAAGTGATTGAATATCCATTTGTCTGAAATGGTAGAGGGTTTCCTTCCTGAGCAGGGAATTGGACTAGAAGACCTCCAAGATCCCTTCCAACTCTGTTATTCTGTTAGTGCTCTAGAAAAAGTGCTCAGCTTTTCTAATTAATAATATCGCCAAAAAATCTCTGCAGTTTGTTAAATACAAGCAATTTGATATATTAAATATTAGTCAATTATCCATAAAGATCTAGGGATTACTTTTATCAACTCATTTTCTTTCATGTAAATGACTCTTGGTAAAGATTAATCTTATCTCCTCTAACTCTAAAATAATTAACTAAGACAAATGATGTTGTGAAGGTGGAAGGTATTTGAATTTAAAATGATGCAAATTCATCGGGTAACATGGTTTGAAAGAGGAAGCTGGTCAGTCATGTCGAAAGAAAAGCTGTGCTTCCCTTGCTCTTGCAGGTGGGTCATAGATATTTGCTGCTTTACATCTGCAGTAACTCACCTCCCCCTTGGCTTTTGTGGGTGAAAGAGAAAAGAGTTTACTCTTTCTTCATCATTCCTGTGTTTCCACTGCTCAGAGAGTAAAATATGTGTTGTTTTTGAACACGGCCACTTTCTACTCTTGCAAAGGTTACAGCCAGATCTGTTAGGTGCTGCCATTCCACTTTATCATGATTAGACTTGAAAGTGGGGCAATGACCGTTTCAAAAAGCTCTGAATGATGAAGCACAGCAAGACTATTAAAAGGACAAAGAGAAATAGAAATTAGTTACCTTCTCTCACTATCCTCAATTTTAAAAGATTTGCAGCGATTACAAAAATAGCTACTGTACTGCAGTCTTTATTCCAATTTAGAAACTGTTGAAATTCCACTGTGTATGGTATAGTAGCCAACTTCTCCTCTAATAGCTTCCAAAAGTATTGTGTCCTCTCGTGTAAAAATGGTCCTATAAAGCTTTACTCTACATTTTCTGGAGGAGATCCTTACTCACTGTTAGTGGCTATGTAGATTAGTATTTGTTGGCTTACTTTAATGGATTTTAGGTTACACAAGAAGAAGACCCTGTTCATATGACATGCTTGCATACACTTGTTTATAGAACTATGGACTTATGTGCAGTTTTCTGGATTATCATAACTCAGTATCTAAATGATT